GGGCACTTGTCAACCGGGAAGCCTCTCCCCTCTTTCCTTTTTTCTTCCTCCTTCCTTCTTTTCCTTCCTTCCTTCTCTGATCCCTCCTCCTTTACCTTCTCCCTTCAACTACTGGACTGGTAGATGCCTCGTGAAAATACCCCTGGACCCTCGCAGCGAGAGCACGCTGGTTGACAACAGCCCCGTAACCCCTCCCCCCACTCTCTAGGGGGTCCGGAGGGGGAGGGGCAAGGAGAATCGGCACTAGGTCACGCCTCCGTGAACCATGAATTTTATCCACTTATCGTGTAGTTGTTGTTGGAGACCTGTGACTACTCTTTCCTTTTTTTTCTACACTTGAATTTTCTGCTTTTGCTTTAGCTTCATTTCAATACTTTACTTCAATACTTTTCCTTTCAGCATGCCCGGTTCCTGAAGATTTGGCACCATCTAGTTCTAAGCGTCAACGTCTCGATCCGCTGAACATCCCTCTTCCACCCTTACCTCCTACATTTGCAGCTCCTACAAAGCTCGTTGTTCCACCATCACGGCCTCCGACAGGTTTGTCTTATTATTATTCAAGCCATTTTATTTTTTTTTCAGTTGTAGTAAGTTTAGAGTACTCATCTTTTCATCTTTCTTTAGTGATAGACATCATCCTAAGCTATGCGGTTGAAGGGGCTTTTACGTTGACTTCCCACGCTACGTGGCGAATTCGGCGCTGTTCGGATTGGGAGGGGCATTTTGCATTTTTGCTCGTTCGTTTCATTAGTTCATGTCAAGCAACAAGCCTCGATTTGGTGAGACCTGTAGACACTTGTGAGACCGCGAAATGGTAGCTAAGCTACTTTAGTTACGAGGATTTACTGAACTTTATAAGGTGCCCTGTGCAGGCTTCGCTGAATACCACTCGGTGCCCCCACCAAGCCGGATCGCGCCCCAAATTCTAGCTCTTTTCCGACTAAGTCATACTATTTGTAGGTACGTCTACATCTACAGCAGGATCCAGTACAGAAAGCGCTGGCAGTTCTGCTCGTACAAGCAGCATATACTATCCGAGTCAAGATCCGCAACGTCTGGGTGCGAAAGGAGACGTTATTGAAGAATAGCGATAGCTTTCGTGGACGTGCATAACGTATCAATTCCTCTGATATTCGAAATTAAATTAAATACCTAGTTTGTTTTGGTGTCACCTCGCTTGCTGTATCACGTCGTTGTTTCGTTGTTGATGAGTATCTCATATTCACTATTGTGTTTCCCTTACATAATTTCTTTCCCCTTGAGAAATTTGGAGCTTTTCTTGTCTCGACTTCGAAAAAAGGTTGCAGCCCGACAGCATCACAAAAGAAAACTTGACAGAAGCTGTCTTAGGCGTTGACCCTCTGGCATGGAATCTCAGTATCTCGAGAAGAAATATGTACGGGAATTGTGTACACATCGATCAATAAATATATTCAGTCGAGTGACTCGCAATTTGTTTGGGTGTTATCCCTCTGTGATTCCTAGTGAGAGTTGGCAATTATAAAGAGGACAAGGGCGTTTCCAGTAGACCAGTGGAAGTCGATGTGTTTTTAATGAGAAAGGCAGCAGTGATGATGATAATGATAGAATACGAGTCGCTGCACCTGCGCCCGTTTGTTCGCGATTTTTGGGGCGTATCGCAATAAGGCAGCGTTCATAGTTCGCGACAGCAGCGGCGATCGCCGCGATCGTCGGTGCATGGCAGCGCGCGCCCCAACGCTATTGTGGATGCTCGCCTGATGAATAAGGGAATCCAACTTGTAAGACCTTCTTTACTCTTAATAATGGCTACTAACTGATAAGTTACGACTTTCTATGCATAAGCAGATCTGGAGCGTAGAAGGTAAGAAAGGTTTCACTTCTTTTTAGGTCGGGATAAGGCCAACTCTTTTCCCTGGGTGAGCTTCTTTTTGTTTTTGTTGTTTTTATTGTTTCAATTTATACAAGCGCTTCGAAAGTTGCTATCGTCTGAACTGTTCCAACTTCCAAAACATTTATAGTTTACAAGTCGAGTTAAAACAACGAAGAAAAAAAAAGAAACAGAAGAAACTCACCTGGGAACCAAAACACTAATCATTTTACGCAATCATCAAGGTGAAACGTTATAGGGCCTGCGTGTATAAGCTTATCGTGAACACGTTCCGGACAAAATTGTGAGGCTGTTGCGGGAGGCGTACAATGGAACTGTCAGCTGTATCCGCGTCAAGGATGACGTCTCTGAAGAATTTCCTGTAAGTGCTGGTGTTCGTCAGGGTGACGTGATCTCCCCTACGTTGTTCAACGTGGTAATGGACGCTGTCATGAGGAAAACTTTCAACGGAAGGCAAGGCGTGCAGTACGGTGAAGGCGGCTTTCTCACTGACCTGATGTTTGCCGATGACAGCGCAATTTTTGCCGAAACTGACGAGGAAGCGACTAACATCATGTGCTCACTGTCAGAGATTGCCCAGTCGTATGGCCTCAAAATAAACGCGGAAAAGACCAAGGTGATGACCTCGGATGGATCGCCCGCGTCCGTGCGACTGGGTAGCGTCGCCTTGGAGCAAGTGAGTAATTTCAAGTACCTTGGATCGGTCGTTCAAGAAAGGAAAGTGGCTGCCGAGGCTGAGGTCCGCAGCAGGATTGGTCACGCGTCTAAGACATTTGCAGCGTTAAAGTGGTGTCTCTGGAAGAAGAGTAACATATCACTGAAAACCAAAATTCGCATGTTCCGGACGCTGGTGCTCCCGGTGCTACTATATGGGTCTGAGACATGGACGTTGCTCAAGTCGGATCTCTCTCATCTCGAGGTGTTTCAAATGCGTTGTCTCCGCCATATGCTCGGGATCAGGCTTCGTGACCATGTCACGAACAACGCCATCAGGGAGAAGTTTGAAGATCAACCCACAATCGAGGAACAATTGAAACTGCGACGGCTACGATGGTTCGGTCATCTGTGCAGGATGGGTCACGACAGAATACCTAATATGCTCCTGTGGAGAAAACGCCCTGCGCAGTGGAAAGTTCAGAGGACGGCTCCAAAGAAGACTTGGTTGAAGCAAGTTGAAGAAGACCTTAGGGCTCTGAGGTGCAGTGTTGAGCATGCTAGACGTATTGCTGCTAATCGACCAGAATGGAGACACTTCATTCAGGGCGTTCGTACTCCAATGGCACCCACAGCAGTGTACTGGTTGAGAGGCCGGCCCCCACCACCAGACGCAAGCTAAGGGATAAGTAAGTAAGTAAGTAAGTATACAGCCTTAAACCATGAAAAAGAGAACAATAAAAACCTGCACAAAAGCACTAAGTTGGGTTCACATTTCCCAGAGTCATAACTCAGCTTCACAGCTTCGTGTTATATCACTCTTTCATTATTATGTATAATTTTCATTATTATGTGTAATTCATCATCATCTTGATGCATGAACTTTGCATGTTACCCCCTTTTTACAATCTCTTCTCTTTAATATTATGTCCTTTTTCTCAGCACTTCCGCCTAAATGTATTTGTCTATGTCGCTGCTGTCTCAACGCTATCGCACTGAAAGGATGACTCGGGTGCTAACGTAGTTGGAGGGGGCCACGCGGTTCTCGGCCAGTGATGACTCATCGACTCTTCTTTTCATGTTTAGGACATAGATATAAGATTGTCCTAGCTATATTCAAAAGATAAAACAGTTAACTCTGAAGAATGCGAAAAAACAGTTGTGGACAGGAAAATTTTGCCTAAACTTGTTGCTTTTTTGTTGTAGACCGCTGTTCTTGACTACAAAAGATCATACAATGTTGTTTTCAGTTTCTGTGGGATTTCTCAGCAAGTTTCCGGTGAGTCTTGTTTGTTTTATTCTAATTTTGCTGCTAGATTAGTATGTCAACGCTGCTATCGATCGATGAGTCATCACTGGCCGAGAGCCGCGTGGCCCCCTCCAACTACGTTAGCACCAGGCTCGGGGTTGGCTAGACAATGATGATTCGTCTGCGATACCGAGCGAAACGGATCATCTGTGTTGTGGAGTGTATTCCTTTCCCATGTTTGTTTTTCTTTGCTTCTAATATCAGTCCCTCAGGGAATGTAGTTGAAGGAAAAACCCAAACATGAAAATTCCCTCCAAAAAGCGCTTGGGGGGGGAATATCGTTGGGCGCGCTCTGGCGATGGTACCTGACGATCGCGGGCGATCGCCGAGGTCGCCGCAGTCGCCGCTGCTCTCGCGAGTAGTACGGGAACGCTGCCAGTAAGGTCCTCAGTTCTCACTGTGTCTTTTAGATGGTGTATCCTGCATCTGTCTTCATTACTGGGGCTAATAGAGGCATTGGATTAGGATTGGTTCGTGAATTTTTGAAGGTTCCGGCCGTGAAGCATGTGATTGCTGGCGCAAGGAATCCAGATAATGCTGAGGTAGGTTTTTCTTGAGATTTTCTGAATGTTTCTCGATTGTCAGGAAGGGGTAAAAATCCTTTAAGCCCATGGTAAACAATGTTAATGTAAGCATTTCTTTCTTTGACAAAAATGTGGTGTTTTTGGACCAGGGCAAGTCAAAACGCTAGGGATTCCCAACGAGAGTGGTCGTATCTGGTCGCTGAAGGTGGAGGGATGGGGCAGTCATATTTATCTTGAGAAAAGTTCTTCCAGTTGTTTTGTTCCAAGTGAGCTGTTTGTCCCGCGCCGTTTGAAAAAGTCCTCGCGAAAAAGTGGAGGAAATGGGAAATTAAGGGAGTACGATGGTGGATCAGGGATGGGTGGGGGGGGGGGGTGATCGCTAAAGAGGCGAAATTGTGGGTGGATTCGAATTTGGCAAAATCCCTCCCCAGTGGTCACAAACAGGAGGAACCCATGAGAGGGTTCGAATTTTTCACGGTTCAAAATTTCCACGGCAGGACGTGCCCTTTTCGGACACGTTTTCGTTCAGACAAATACACGACCACAAAAAGTTACAGACCTGAAACATTCTGTCACCATGGATATTCAAACTATCAACTTTCTGTTCTCTCTTTCATTGACATTCCTAGGGGATTGCAGGAAAGGAGGCCTCATTTCTTGGTCCACAGCTTTGCTTCTATACGAAAAAGCGCCTCCATGACCGGAAAGGCCCCTTGATTTGTTCAGGAGCTGAATGGAATTACCGATAAGCGGTTGAGTATCGTCAAAATTGATATCGATTGTGACCAGTCCATCAAAGACGCATACAAGCAGGTTAGTTTTTTCTTCGAACGGTGAGAAGAGTTTATTAGAACGGCAATAAATTTCCATTTTTCAAGTTTTTGCCATGGAAGTTTCCGAAAAGTATTTAAGGTAGAGGCCGTAGTTGGTGAGAGCGGGCTAAATGTGCTGTTGAACAATGCGGCCATCTTGCCGCCTTATTTTACAAATGGAGCCATCTGTCGGGATACCTTAATGAAATGTGTGAATACTAATGTTCTGGGAACCGCCCATCGTCAGTCAGGTTTGTGATTGGTCTGCTCAGGTGTTTTTTATCTAACAGATAAACTTGGAAATTTCTAGTATTTCTTTTCTTGTTATTGCAGACTTTTTTGCCGTTGCTCCGTAAAGCGTCCTCTCACGGTGAAGGAGACCATTGGGGAGTCGACCGTGCTGCTATTGTGAATATTTCTAGTTTCTGGGCGTCTATAAAGGGGAATGAAGACGGTTCTGGCGAGCTCGGTTCTCTCGCATACAAGATCAGCAAGGTGAGTTGTTTTCTATAAAAGGAGTAATTAGTGTAGGTCTCTGTACTAGTGGGTGTTTGGATTCTATTCTTCGTGGGTCGCGGTGAGCATGGCCCTTGACAGCTGCCGCCTTCGCACATGAGCTTTATTGTCTCAGGGCTCGATCAAATTGCCGAAAAGATCCATTACATTGTCACTCTGGAAAACAAGCTGTGAACAAGAACACCTTGCTCCGACAACCACCTGAATACGGTAGTGCTGTTGTACTCGCAAAAAGCATCCTACACCATATTAAAATTGTCTCAAGTCGCGTGCGATGAGTCGTGCGTCAATGCCACAACCGTCTCAGGGTCCCTCCTTCCTTCTTCCCTTCCTTCCTTCTCTGTTCCCTCCTCCTTTACCTTATCCCTTCAACTACTGGGCTAGTAGATGCCACGAGAAAATACCCCTGGACCCTCGTAGCGAGAGCACGTCTCGTTGACAAGTGCCCCGTAAATCCAGATGAGACAGCTGTCATCCTGTCCTTCGCGGAAACAGAAGAGAACGGCACTTCCCACCAAAAGTACTGTCGCCGTCACTCCCAATTGAGACATGAAATTTGTGTGCATAGCGGTTGGGGGTTTGATTACAGATTACTGCTACTTTCTCCCTTACTCCATAAAAACTTATTCATCTATATTCGGCCGTAGTGGCCAGTATGCCTATGCTTTCTTTATATGAATTCCCTATTTTCTTGTACCAGGCTTTTTCAGTCAGCTGTTAATCAATTGGGCAAAACAATGGCAGTCGATCTAAAGAGCGATAAAATCCTTGTTGCTCAGTTTTGTCCAGGATGGGTGCAGACGGAAATGGGTAACATGGGAGGAAGAACGGCTGCCATTACCGTTAGTATTATGCAATATATTAGTAATTTCTGGTGAATATTGAAAAATTAGTGAGAAATCTCTTTTCAGGTAGAAGAGTCGGCGTCCGCATTGGTAAATTCTATGTCGAAATTGACTAAGGAACACAATGGCGGTTATTTTGACCGCACTCTGAAAGTCATACCGTATTGAGCACCACTGCCTTGCTAGCCTTTATTTACCTCTTTGTTTACCCTTGTTATGCTTAGCAATATTTTCTATGCATCTGTAGGAATCGCTGCGGAGTTCCCTTCAGGGTGGCTTCAAACGTGTAGAGCTTCAGTTACATGTGGCTGCCTTCTCTTGTCCAATTTACACGGATTGAGCCTATTTAATCCTTGCCATCGGTGCTTTTTTTGTTTTCTGTACCTGTGATATTCTTCCCGGTAATAGTATTTATCTTATTATCACTTATTGTGATTATTAATTGCATTACTTCTTGATAAGCAATACTATAGCCATTTGCAGCAAACCATGACATGGCTATGATGACGGTTTTCTAGACTCTGAGGGGTTTTTTTCGCAGCGGTTATGAAAGTCCCGGTGTTCTGTTTATTTTTCTTCAGAAGATTCATCAAAGGGTACCTCATTCTAGTTCAATAAATTTTTTTCTTCTAGCTGAAAACCGATTTTTTTTGTGGGGATCGAATACTGAGGAGAGGGTTGAAGTTTCCGGCAATGGTCGAATCCACTTTTTTGTGGGGGGCCGACATGGAAATTAACCCAGGCCGCGAGTGGGATCCGTCTGCCACTACGACATTTCCCCCTCTGAAAGAGAGTTACTTCAACACAACGCAGGTGTGCTGTAGGATATATGGTCTTCGCGTCAGGTAGGAGGGTTGGCGTTTCTCGCGCGAATCGATTATTAGAGATGTCTCTAGTCTCGTTCACTACTGGTGGCGAATGCGGGGGCGTGTTAGAGGAGCTGAGTTTGGCGGGGGCAGACCATTCCCTACCGATTGTTGGAGAGGGGCGAGTGACAGTGATTGGTGAAAAGGAGGCTGGCCCCGCACTAGACTCAACCACTTTCTGAAACGTCCCAGCATACACGACGCTGCATCCTTCGCCCACTAGAGGGCGAATTCTTGGGGAGTTTAGGTAACACGACTGGTCAATTGTGGAAGGGCGTCGTATCAAGGTGAGAAATCTTTTGAGGGAGATATTATTCAGCAGAAATTCTTCTCATTGACAGAACTTGCACTGGTCCACGCAGAATTTCGGATGCGTCATCATCTGTGGTGTCTTAGGCGGAAGGGTGGCGCCTGCTGGTTCTTTGGGAGTATTGTGGCTCCCGCAGATTACTTCTGTGTAAGCTATTCTGGGCTTACAAGAATTTATTCACCTTAGCAAAGGTGTTCAGTGGTAGAAAGAATAGTAGTAGAATGCTCACATATCTGGGCGTGCCTCTTTATGTCAGCGAGGTCACGCTCAACATCTGTTATGCAACAACAATCATCAAAGTGTACCGGTAATTCCAATGGCTATCTATGTTACTTCAAAGGAAGTGAGGGTTCTGGTGAATTACCAGAACATCATCGAGAAGCAGAGTGTTATCAGAGTTACATCACCGTGTGAACGGTATTGATCGTTGAAGATCTATTGGAACAAAGCCATGGAGCATGGGAGAAGGTTCAAGAGTTTCCCATCAGACGTGCTGAAGGGCAATCTAGGCAAACAATCCTTGCTGCACAATACGACATATTACCGTGGAAGACCTATAGTTGCAGTGTAACTTCTGTTGTGTCGAAGATTTTGATCTAGTCGATCACTCTGGTCATGTAAAGGCTCCTGACATCTCTTACTTGCAAGTTTAGCAATGCACAACATTCTTCCAGCCCCACGTATACTCGAAATCCCTGGGATCGGGTAGGCGTGGCCTCATGTTTCAACTTTATCTGGGTGTCTATATGATATATTTTCACCTCGATACGTTTATTATCGCGCCGTCTGTCAACCACAGAAAAGATGACTGTTGTCCCAGGACTGCGCATATTCCAGAGATAAGCCACTACGTTGCCATGTTCAAAATGCCACGCTTACTCTGGCTCAGGGATAAGGAGTGTATCTACTGCTGATATCGTCGCAATCAGTGGGGGCGGTAATAAGAGGGCCGGAACAACCTGCCTCTCTGCTGCCTTTCTCTACTAACATTTATCGACTAGTAATCGATTTGAAAAGAAAATATAGTGGTGAAAACATCACGAGTAGGCGAATTTCATACCTCTCGATACTACCTCGACTGATTGCTGTAATCAACTGTAACTCAAATGGCTGACAGGTACAACTCCAATCGCTGTGGATGATTGAGCGTTTCACGAGGGCTCAGTTTGACACCGCTTCAACTCAATCTCCACTGATTGTGGAAGCTGACGATCGACTACATCTGATGGAAAACTGGCTGGTGCCGCGCCAATCCCATCTTTACCCCTCCTGAAATGCTTAGCATTTGCAGTGAAAAAGACTGTAATTATAATCTCCAAGTTGTCCCTTCTTGTAACCTCGGCATGATGTCGAATATTTAGTTATTTCTGCCAAACGAGGTTGTTAGATGAAACCTTTTATTGGCCTGACGTTTCGACCTTCTCGTCTTCTTCAGAGGCCTGAAAATGGCTCGAAGCTTTTA